CCATTGTTCAGTCTTGATCAGTCACCATTGCAGCTCTTCAAGATCTTGGGTTTTCAGTTCATGTAACCAGCCAGATCAGAGAGGGTCAAACATTTTTTAGGCTTTGAATCTGCCAACTTTCAGGAGGAAGAAGGGAGAGAATGTAAAAACATTTGAGTTTGCTTCTTGAAATTTCTCTTTTCAAACTACATCCTAACAGCCTGAAACATCTGGAGAAGCTTCTTTAGGTGAATTTGCTTGCACAGCATGCTCTTGGCACTTGGCTGAGTCTTCACCCTCTTCAGGTTCCCTCAATTCTTTCAACTTCCAGTCTTGTTAGAGGACAGTTCTATGGGTGCTAGTTGTTTTCTGATGCCTAGTCCAAGAGACCATCCTTTCTGACAATATACAACAAGAACTGCAGGAACTTCACATCTGAACCCAGTCCGATCATCACCTGAACTACACACACTCACACAAAGAATACTGAGGACTGTGAGGGATGGGCATTCCTAATTGTTTTTATCTTGCCCTGCCTGGTGCAGAGACACTTAAGCTCATCAATGTGCTCCTGTGTTGAAAGTGAAACTCACTCCCACAGGGATTGGTTAAAGGGAATTGTATAAATACATTTAAGTAGAACCTGGACAAGCATATGAGGAAGAAGGGGTAGAGAGTTATAATGATGGATTTAGATGGGATAAGTTGGGAACAGCTCATGTGGAGCATAAACACCAGTCCTACATAATCCTATGACCATCCCAGTTGAGATCAAGTTAAACCTGACAGATTGGGGAATGAAACCGTGGATTCTCCTCTACATTAATCAGTACTGCGCTACACCATCAGGAAACATACCTGCCTGTGCTCATAACAGATGTTGAGTATCATCAGTGACTTCTTGCAGTATGTGGTTCCATTTTTATATTGCATCAATATTGAAGCTGATGATGAGCTAACATTACACACTATTTCCCTGAATTAATACGTTTATTTTGTTTGTATCTTTTTTTCTTAACGATGTTCCATTTATTCGATGTGGAGATTCTTTTCTGTAATGTTTCTGTGTGAGTTATAAAGATGATTTTTACATGAAGAAGTGTCTGCAAGCATTTTTTTCGTCTTGCCAGTGAACCTGAAATAGGTCAGGTTTAAGGATTATCTGAAACAAGATGCAAGAGAGGAGGGAGGAGGGGAAGAGCAGAATCAGGGCAGGAAGACAATTCATTAACTACTTTCATAATTAATATCTGCATGTCAGAAACAACAGAATTAAAACAGTAGGTTTATAACTCAGGTTGACTATATTCCTGAAGTTTAAATCACACGAACGCCGAGCCCCAATACTTTCCTTATGGCTAACGAACAGACGCATTCAAAGAAGACAAAAACAATGCAATTATTTTGAATGTGCCTTTGATTTTACCTCCCACATTGTTCAAAGCAGTGATCAGGGGCTGAAAATTAAGTCTTGGAGATTCTGGGACAATGTTGGAATAGTAACAATCCTAGGGGAAGTAATAGAAGTTTGATATTAAAAATAGATTTTCATTTTTATTCATTCATGGGATGTTTGCATCTCTGGCTGGGCCAATGTTTATTGTCCACCCCTAGTTGCCCTTGAGAAGGTGGTGGTGAACTGCCTTCTTGAACCACTGCAGTCTATGTGCTGTAGGAAGACCCATAATGACATTAGGGAGGGAGGGTTTCCAGGATTCTGACCCAGCAACACTGAAGGAATGGACATATATTTCCAAGTCAGGATGGTGCGTGGCTTGGATGGGAACTTGCAGGTGGTGGTGTTCCCATATGTCTGCTGCCCTTGTCCTAGATGGTAGTAGCCGTGGATTTGGAAGGTAGTGTCTAATGTTCCTTGGTTAGTTACTGCAGTGCATCATGTAGATGGTTTGCATTGTGCATTGATGGTTAGGGGAGTAAATGTTGGAGATGGTGATTAGCATGTCAATCAAGCAAGGCTGCTTTGTCCTGGATGGTGTTAAGCTTCTTGAATGTTGTTGGAGCTGCACTCATCCAGGCAAATAGGGAGTATTGCATCACACTCGTGTCTTGTGCCTTGTAGATGATGGACAGGCTTTGGGGAGTCAGGAGGTGGATTACTTTCTACAGAATTCCCAGCCTGTGATCTGCTCTGTTAGCCACAGTTTCTGGTTGTTGATAATTCACATGAAATTCCTGAACCACTCACTAAAAGGACGCAATGTGGTTCACAGGTCTCGAAGATGCAATTTAGATTCATAAGATAATAACATGAGGAGGATTAAGTGTCTTTTCAGCAAGGAAGAATTAAGAGTTCCTTCATCACAGGATGTAATTGTTTCTTTAATGATGTCTAGATTCTTTGTATCTAACTAAATTTGGGAGAGCAGTCCAACTGTTGATTGTTCTCTGTAAGGCAAAGCTTTCTGATCTCAGTCTTAAATTTCCCTTTTCCTAGTTTAAAACCTCTTTGAATTTACCATTTCCATATCATTCACAATCACATGGACTTCTTCGATCACCCGAGATCAGTTGTATTCACTGGAAAAATAGTGAGGAGCCATTAGGATATTGGAACATTTTAAATGGACTGCAAGTAGATTTTAAAAGAGGCTTATTGATGCATTGTGTTTTCTTCAAATGGTATGCAAGTAGTTTCAAAAAAAGATAAAAACATTAGAAACTGTACACAGTACACCAATTGTAGTTCACAATCTGTTTAATAATTAACTGACTGTTAACCAGTTACCAGCACATCCCACTTACCTTCTACTTCCTGAGGTCACCACACTCACTGCCCCTCTCCTCACCTCTCTGCCCACCTCACACCCTGCTCACCAACTCTCCTGCTGCCTGCTCAATGCACTCTCCCTAGTCACAACAACACCCCTCGCCCCGCCTGCTGCACCTTCCCCACTCCCCATCTCTCACCCTTTAGTGTGCATCACCAATAACTAGAAACTGTGGCTACAAGAGCAGGTCAGGAGTGTGATGGAATATTCCCCACTTGATGAGTGCAGCTCCAACAACACTCAAGAAGCTTGACACCATCCAGGACAAAGCACACTTGTCCCCTCTTGATGCCCCTCTCTGGCTCGCCCCAACTCGGCCCCCTTCTCCTGCTCTCAGAAACTCTTCTGCTTGTGACTAAGTCCTGCACACAATGACTCACTGCAGGGTCTCATTCTGTTACTGTTGGGGCAGGGGTTCGCCGTGCGGAAAGCTCAAGCATCATGCCTGCTTGTGTATTTACTTGCAGGATCTCCCTTGCTGCCAATGCCCTCAACCCCTAATGCCCACAGATCTCAGTGGGTGTGACCTCAGTCCCTGGGGTCCTTGATCCAGGGGAATGGAGTGCAGCTGGCCTGTTAGGTGCCTGAATTGCACGAAGTGTGGTGGGCCTTTTCAAAAAGAGACAACGTGGGGTCCTTGCCACCTGTCCTGCCCATAGCCAAGACTTCCTTGCCTCCACAAGATTCAGCAATATACTTCTCCGCTCAGATCCTCTCACTCACCACTTCCTTTTCCGAACCCTAAGATGGAGCTTGAGAGAGGGATGGTGAGGGGAAGGAAGGAAGCAAGGGAGGGTTGATTGAGAGGTTCACAGTGAAAGATGATGAGTCAGAGATGGACAGTGAGTAGGCTGTGTAGTCAATATCATTGCCGTACCTCATTCAGGCCCAGCAGTGCTTAGGCATTGTCCCGGTCCAGCGTCCTGTGCGACTCTCTATCTCCAGTGCTCCATGAACAGCCTGTGTGGTCATTCTGCACCAGTACATTACTCTGTGTCCTGCAAGAAAAATGACATCTTTGCAAATGAGAAATCTATTCCTAATTCAAAGGCATATTTTTGGCTAAGGCTGTCAGCGTGAAACTAAAACACTTGTTACTGTGAAATCTTAGTCACTCAACCATTTAGAACAAAATATTAAAGCTCTGCTACCCCATATTTTCCCTCTTGTTGTAACTTTATGCTTTCATTAAGCACAGGCATTGACCTGTCTCCAATTCACTTCCTGGTGCCATCAGGTTTGAAGTTAATAATTGTGGCATACTTCCTGGAAAGTACGACGAAGCATCAACAACCTGCCAAAGATGATATGCTTTACGATGAACTGTACCTCTTTTCTCATTTAGCATCCTCTTTTACTGTAAATATGTGTGTCCTTGTACATTGTTCATTGCACTGGGTGAATAGGGAAGTGTTTTCTCTCTCATTGAATGAATGAGTTTTTTCATCTTTCTCTGTTGCCTTGTCAGTGATTGAGGTAGCGTTTCTCTATTTCTCTCTCTATGTGAATCTCTTGGTGTGATCTTTATATCTGCCTCATCCATATGTCTTATACATCCAAAACCTGGGGCCATTGAATTTAACAGTAATCTTATGAAGAACCCATGTAATGATACTCATATTTGCAGTGAGATTCGGCAGGTGCAGAACTCAAAAACGTTAAAAGGACAATCTGTATAAGGTTATGCTATAGCCCAAGGGTGACCTAGCCAAACCACCAGACTCTACATTGGGCTGTGTGGGAGACCCACTGTCAGCCTGTCAACAGCGAGATTCTGAAGCTTTCACAAAATCCCTTGCCTTACCACTTACCACCTTTCTGCGTTAAGAACAGAAGATGCCTTTACACACCAAGCAGAAACAGAATCCTTTGCAATATTGAAGCATGTTGATTGAACCTCCTCGCTCTGGGGTACCAGCACTGTATCCATCCAAGGTGTACATGATGAAAGGTGTCTCCTGCTGATGTTTGTTACGATTCAGAGATCAAATGTGTTGGGACATCCTCAGTTGTGGTCTTCTCCACAAGAATAAAACTTTTCAATACATGTATCCAGTAAAGGTATCATCCCAGAAATCACGTCCATCAGAAACCCCTTTATATTTCCCCCCAGATGACTGACACATATCCAACACTGAACCAATCAATGGGCACAGGTCGCTGTTACAAAACCACATCCAAATCTTGCACTTGCTATTTGGATATCCTGTTCCAGCGAGTAACTGATTGTTGACACACTCATAACCAAGAAATGATGTTTCATGAAAAGAGATCTTGCTGGAAGCATTCCACAAGTCCGGCAGCATCTGTGGAGAGATAGAAACAGAGTTCAAATTTCAGGTCTGTGACTTTTTGTCAGAAATAAGCCTCACCATTTTTCCAAGTGATTGCAGCATCGAGATTTAATGGGAGATCAGGTGAAGAGGTTCCATTTCATCTTTGGAAGACAGACGAGGCTTTTGAACGGTTCGTGTCCCACTGCTAGTATCCATCTCCCTACAGAAAGACAAAAACACAATTTCAACATTTCCAATTCTGTGTTGATTACTAAACCTGTACACAGCATGGTCCCATAAACCAATTTAGATAATTTGTCAGACAGCCTGCTTTGATGGTGGTAGTCGTTGGTGGAATGGGAGCCAGGATACTGCGAAGACCCCTTTCTGCAAATAGTACCATGGGCTATTTTACATTGCAGAGTCTAGTTTAACATCTCATTTGAAAGTGGCAGTTTTGACAGTGTAATAGACGCTCAGTACTGCACAGAAGTATGAAACAGAATATGTGCAGGATCTGGTCTTGAATCCATGATCTCTTACCCAGAAACAAGAGTGATACAAATTAGCCAAAGCTCACACGTGATACATTTGGAAACGGGAAAAACTCATAGCATTAATGAAGTGAAGAACTGTTGCCTCATATCACCAGAAAGAATGAACTTGCATTTCTAAAGCACCTTTCACAACCTTCAGCTGTCCCAAAGTGTTTCACAGTTAATGAAGCACTTTTTGAGGTGTTGTAGTATTTAAGAGACTAAGAACATTTCCATTACCATCCACCTTTGCCTTGCACCATCATGCCTTTTGTCATTTAATCTCTCCTGCTTTCTATCTTTTCACAGACCTTCCCTTTACAGTCCTCCCCAGTAATTTAGCCCCACCCCCACACCACACCTGTATCTGTGATAGTAGGAACTGCAGATGCTGGAAAATCTGAGATAACAAGGTGTAGAGCTGGATGAACACAGCAGGCCAAGCAGCATCGTA